ACAGCAATGCCTAAAAAAATGCAATGGAATTACTAACATTGGTGGCTTTAATTTCATAGGGCACCATCCTTGTCGAGTGATTCAGATTTAAAACTTCACAGCAGATATACCCTGTTCAACAAACAGCTTATTCAAAGGTTCTGATCTGAACCGAACAGCTGTAGCACTAGGTTAATTACATATGGTTTGCGCCAGTGGATTCGAAACAAGAATCCTAGCAATTGAGCTCTAAGTTAAAATCTGCAGTAAAAGAAACAGGCAATGAGTCCAGATATTTTCGACGCAGAAACTTGAATGCCAAGGCCAAAAATTTCGGACAAAACTCGAAGATAACTTAATTATTTTAGTCTTCGATTATAATTGCTAATAGGCCGCAAACTGTTATGATCTCTGGCTTTCCTTGTCAAGTCAACAGGGCATAAGACACTGTTTGGCTCGTCTCCTCTATTGACTTGTATAAGGGCACAAACTACATAAGAATTCACCCACTTGTCTAGAGACTGCAATGTACAACGAAGTCAGTCTTGTTGAACAACACAGTCCATGATGATTTTTATGCGTCGTTAGCTATCTGGGTATATTAGTGCGAGAAGAGGGGAGATTATTTATTTCATTAAACATGGACTGGTGTAAGTCGACTCAAGGCACATATGGCCAGCTGTGGTACCGCAGTTTGAAACATGCGGAAAAACCGTTAACCGTTTTCTGGTTTCCCATCGCGCGCTAATTGTCGGGTTAGCATAAAGGTTCCTTCGGAGCGAGTTAGCTGTTCACTGTGCCCCTGATGAGAATGACAGACCTTTTGAGCAGACTATAACTTTTAAATTACCATCAGTCTATGTTCCTGTTAACAATAGTAAGCTCACTAGAACTTAATAACAGTGTACCATGGCAAATTCTCAATTTAGTTCTTGTGTCGTCGCTAAATGAGTATTTACCACTTACTTAATGCTACACATTTATTTTAAGCAATTTAAGGCTACGTGCAAATGGGCACAACAGCTCCCAACAATGTTGGGAGTTGTAAGCCAACAATGTTGCGTCCGTTTGCACGGGGCTAAAAGTTTGACCGGTTTCAAAATTTGCGCAACAACACGCAACAACATCCAACAACATGCAACAGGGTGTGCAAACGGACGCAACGTGTAACATCCGGCAATGTTGGGAATTGTTGGTCAACAATGTTGCGTCCGTTTGCACGCAGCCTAACGTATTTGTGGCTATTTGTCCCGCAGCCTCGTAGTCTACGCTCAATGAACTAATGTGTGGTCATTGAAATACTGGTGTGGTTATTGAACTGATGGGTAGTTATTGAATTATCAAACAACCCATCGGTCTCATCCAGCTTAAAGGGCCTCTATCATGATAGGTTCCCCAATTTCTTTTCAAAGCTCAGCTGAAATTTTAGCTGAGTATTCTCACTGTCAACTTCTTTATTCTCATAAAGAAGACATCAAATGACTCAAGGAAAAAACAGCAATAATGGTAATTTTTGGTCATTTTCTGACTATACAGAAGTTTAACTTAAAAAAGTTGACCCATTTCTTTTCCAAATTGCTATCCGTTTCCATCCAGGCTATCGAAAGAGAAAGACAGAGAGATACTTCAAGAATTAACCATTATAGCAGGAAGGTTTTCTATGGTTTCAATGTGTTTTTAAGGTTTTAAAGCAATATCTCGTAACGTGACATTGTTCAGTGGATGAGGTCCTGCGGTGTGATCATTCATAGGAAAGCTACTCAGCAGTACTTTCCCTGGTTTTGTCATTCTGCTGTGCTAGAGGGTTCTAACTTTGGAGCCTGTGGACGAAACCGTGTTGTGCAGTCATTTTCACACTAATGAAGGATGAGAACAGATCCATCGTTTTTTCTCCTTCAAACTCAAGTCAAGTTTAGGCAACTTAGATTTATTACTATACAGAAGTTCTACCAAAAAAGTCATTTTGAGTAGAGATATTGAAGCATACTGCCAGTATCACTATACTGCCAGGATCACTATACTAGTCCTAATTCAGTTAAACTTATTTAGTGCTTTCAACTCAAACACACTATCATGATTGGTATGTTGAGAGAGGTATTCGTCACATGAAATCCCCGGCACCCCTATCTCCGGAAGATGAGGGTAATTCAACACTTTTAGATTGTTGTGGTTGACTTTCTGGCATTTTTTAAGCTTATACAATGCTGGCTTTATTGCCCTTTCAACCATGATTAAAATGATGTAGGACTCAGAAGCGGTGCAAGAGTAAAGGTTTCTTTTGTCAATTTTGGCATTAGAACTCGACAGTTAGTTTCAATTACGATAGAATTGACCTACAAAGAGTTGGCCTTTTATAACGCAGCCTGCATATAACTACTCTTTCAACTGCAGCAATATTCGTTCAGTTCTAAGTCCGACATAGACTGCGAGAAGCCGAAAAGATTTGGTTCATCACAATGGTCAAGTTGAGCAAACTGGTAAGTTTTACCACATAGCCTTGAGTTTATGGCAAAAAATCTACGAGTGGCATTCGTCAGCCACGCCCTTTAAAAGTGACCTACAAAGTGTAAATTGTGATATTCTTCTATTGCAAAGCTCTTATCTGCTAAGGCTTAAATTAAATCCAGAAAGCTTATCGTCACATCATCTTTGATGCCAGTGAGTACAATCTTAATTTCACGATAAGATGGCTTGAACGCTTACTCTTCTTCATCACGCGCTTATGTAATAAAGAAACTCGAGTATCTTCTTCATTCTGCAGCTAACTGCCCACACAAAAAGAAACAATCGAAGGACGAGAAAAGTCACGTAAAGTTCAAATAAAGGTAAACTAAACTGCAGCCACGTAAGCATTTCTGAACATCGGTTTGATTTGCTTCTCCAAAGAAACATGGCTATATTAACAATTCAGGTCATCCCATATACACTTAGTTTAGTTTCCGCAAATGATCAAAAATTTTTTTTTACTATATCGGCGACTTGATGTTTGCATGTTCAGAACTGTAATCAAGGAAGAATCCGCGATGCCATCTCTTATCTTTGTTTTCGTAGGCGTTCACAGTTTATTCACTTCAACCGACGACCAAAATATCCAAAAATTTGACAAAATTGTAAAGGTTCCGAAAATCTAAGGGTTTTTTCAGTTAAAAATAATCTAAACAATTCAAAGTTAATTAATTTGGCACATCTTTTTCTTCTGGACACACTGGCTCTTATTGCAGTCAGGTCAATGATACAATGATACAGGATATTGGTTACATCCGCGAGATAAACGCTTCAAATTGAAACTCTATGGCAAAAACTAAAAACAGCTCTTGATCGGAATGCTATGGCAAATGTTTTCATCACACAATTAGATAATACAGCCCTTTTCAGTTTTTTTTTTTCAGAGTAACAAGGAACTCTCTATTTTGTTGTTACTAAGAATTCCACGGCAATCCGAGGCTATTTCTAGAGCTAACGTAAACATATCAAAGTCCTATTCGAACACCAAACAAATGCCGTGAAAAAAAAAAAAAACGGGGGGCAACTTAAAGTCAGGGTTATAACTTACCTTTTCTTTCGGTTGCTATTCCAATTTATAGGGCCATGTTGTTTCTTTCTTTAGGCACAGTGAAGTAAATATCATAAGCTTATTTAATGTTCAGTGCTGTATTTTATACCAAAGTGAATTATAACCCCACTATTTCGGACCTCAACATTTCTTCAAGAATGTGCGAGTTGATCCCACACTCCCCCGCACACACCCACTTTGTCTACAAACAAAAATAGCTCAGTGTTTTCGTCGTTTTCCATTCCTGTATATTTTTAAAAACTTCATCTCATATACATAGCTGAAGAATGACGAGAAGAGCTCTGATAACCTGAAATGGTGTCGCATTTTTAGCCTGATTAGTAAAGAAGAAACTATGATTGGAGCCTTAGTTTATCATCCAATTTCCCTTCCTTTTCAGAGAATCACGTAATGACCATAATGCGTGCACGCCAAAGGTATATACAGATAAAAAACGTCTCAGATATCTTTTGTAGCCCTACCAAAGGACCGGAATAAACTTTGAATCGTACCACACATTAAGAACATTTTATTGCCTGTGGAGAAAAGATTAAGACATTTTCCAGGCTTTAAGAGCGATAGCCTAACAGGAAGCCACATGCTAAATAGTCTGAAATAGATAAGAGCTTTCGCTTTGAAAGTCTGTCACGTTTTCATACCCTAGTTTTCAGTACGAGATTAAAGCGAATTCTTTAAAGGAACTGTTTAAAACAAACAAGAATGAAGGGGACAATAACAACGTTAGCAGGTCAAGAAGTCAAACTTAAATCCCCCAAAGTACCGTAGTTGCGTAGGCAGTTGCTAAGTAACCATTAACGTGGTTTGCTGCTGAGGGTATCGAATATAGTGATATGACATAGATTTAATATACTATGTAAGTGATTCCAAAGAATATCCCCTCTAGAAAAATTACTTTTATTTGGATGGTTTTAATACTCTGACGCCTTAAAGTCAGCGGCAACAGTGTTTAAACTAATGATATCCGCATTGCCTAAGTGTTTTTTAAGTACACTGCATAAAGTTGATCTCTATTCCAGCCATTACCGTCTTCGAACAACTTATTCCGTGAGATTCCATCGACTCTTTTGAAATGCTTTGACTGAGAAACACTTATTCTCGTAAAAATATGGATAACAGTGGCTTGGTTAATCTAGGACAGGAGTGAAAGGGGGTGTAAAACGCGAAAAGCACGCAGGGCTATCTACGCTAAATCATCTTGCGGCATGCAACGTGCACGAAGGCGTTGAAGCATTATCTTGGCTCCTATCATTTGTTTATGTTCTGGTTATTATAATGGTGTCAAATGAGTTCCGTTTTTGATACATGATGTCTCCTTAAAATGGAAACCCATCCCAGCTGACAAGCCAAGCCCTGGAATGAGCGATAAGTTTCTAACACACCACAATCTCCGCCTCACTCCAACCGCACAGCTCTTGCGTGCAGGTCAGTCGCCGTTCAGCTTGCAGCCATGGAGGAGACGTTAACCACTATCAAATCTGAAAACAGCCAAGGCAAAAAGAAAACGCGACGGCGAGGACCACGATTGACTGGAGTCAGCCGGCAGCGGAGAATGGCCAACGCTCGAGAGCGAAGTAGGGTGCAGACCCTTAATGCACACATCGAAAGGCTCCGGGACTTAATACCTCTTTTTCCTGGAGAGAAGAAACCTTCGAAGACAGAAACCATCCGATTAGCGGCCGTTTACATCTCCTGTCTCACGGAAATTTTGGAGGCGACACCTGAAGGCCTCGAGAGAATTTCCACCGAGGAATTGATGCCCCCTTTTCCAGGACTCGAGGACGGTTTGGGTTTGGGTGGCTTCCCGGGTTTGCCTCAATTGTGTTTAGACCCGTTCGCTGACGAAGGTAAGCGATGAAGTTTTCGACTCAATTATTGCATGTGTACGTAAGTACATGTGCTGTGGATCACTGTCATCAGTTTCATAGCCTGATCTATACCATGGGAGGTCTGATAATTCTAAGTAATTAATCTTTCCGCCTTTGTTTTTTTACGTTTTTTGCAACTTCTGGTACCGGAAGGATCTATTTTAGAACCAATTTATAATATTTGCTGCAAATATTTAAACAATCGCGTTGTGAAATGTTTGAGATTTGTCCGTAGATTATGGATGGCCCTTTTGAAACATGTTTACATGTTATAAACTCTTTTTCACTGGTAAAATAAACAATTAGTATTGTCTATTTATATAAAATGTCTTTCAAGGTGGCGGCGTTCATCCCCTGAAATTGCTTCCGAGATATAAGGGCCCTGAGATGAATATTTGTACATTTTAATACTTGAATTGAATTGTAACTTTGTAATAAAATGAAAAGGACTGAATTGTTGATTTCGAAACTTAAAGTAAATCTTTAAATCCGCCAAGCTGCACTTAACATTTATTTGTTTGTGTTGTTTTTATTGATGTATCAATTTTCTGTTTGTGTTTAGACAACCTATTGGACCTGGATCTCGCAGACTACATGTGGGAGGAATTCGAATAGCAAGCAAGCTCAAAGGCACGAAATAAAACAAGGACAAGTTTTCTATGAACATCTTTCATCTCACGAGCGTTCAGCCACTTATCGAGAAAATTATCACCTACTTATCAAGTGTGGAATCAAATCTAGAATATATAATGTTACATTTAGCCCTGCACAGCTTTAGGCGTTTAGGAGCATTGGGTCACGACTTGTAGTATCTCTCACTAATGTAGAAAATACGAAGAAGTATCAAGTCAAACTTTTAGTGGAATCGGCCATCTATGCCCTAACGATATGCAACCGCGCGCAAATCAGTGTAATTCTTGTAATTCGCGCAAAAGAAAAAAATTTCAAGGCGATCTTGAGACAGCAAATAGAGTAAAGACAAAAAACAAATGGAAAAAGTAAACCCAAATTTTTCAATGCCTAATGAAAACAAACACCACGGATGCCTTTGATTTCACCATTCCACATATTGTTTCAGTCCAACCACGACAAAACTGATCTTTGCACAATCACGAAGCTGTTCTTACAGACCTTCCATTACTGTATAGATATCCAAAACCACAACGATTTCATAACAATCTGCACAATTGATTCATTTGAATGGTTACATAAGCAAGGATTCAATGCGCTACTGAAATGAAAAAGGTTTTCAGTCTAACAAACAACTTGAAAAAAAAAGCAAGTACTAGTTCTACTTCGCAGCTCCCCACGGTGATCCCGGCACACAGTCCCTCGATGATTTCGATCGGAATCGTTTAAGTTTGTGTCAAAGATTTGCATAGAAAGCGAACGAAGAATTCTTTTTAATTCTTAGTCAATGGTCCTTTAAAAAACACAGATCTTGCAAAATTTTTGTTGAATTTCAAGGGTTTCGTAGTTTCGCTTTTCCGCCTTTTTTCCACGTCGCATTCTCACCTTTCGAGGCCGAGCCTTGAAATCTCGGCCATGCTTCAGCTATAGTGCGGACTCGAGCGCCTGATTCCTTCAGTGATTTGTCAGTGTTCGTTTTTTCGTTGTCTACTGGCGACAGGACGATACTGATATGCTTCGTATTTTCTATAAGAAAAAAATGAAACCTCTTCCACCATGACTTGCATAACGAAAGCTATTGTAGCCTAGTTGTCTTGCAAACTATCGAATTCACCAATCGTCATGCGTAAATGAACCCTAATTAACAGTTTGTTCTTGTGCTTATGTTTATTGTACTGTACAAAGTGGTTCTAACTTTTTTACTTTCAAGATGAAAGCGTGAAGTGACCACTCAACGAAGACTGAAATTACGAAATTACTGAACGAGAAGTAATGTGCATTCATTCATTAACATTAGAAGGTGTGGTTCTGCATGTCTAAGTCTGAGGAGAAAACACCAAAAGTTTGTAACCATTCAAATAATATATATCTCCTAAGCATAGCTGATAGTTGTTCGGGGGAATTTTTTTGTTAACTTGGCAAGATTAAATGAATCCCGGGAATGGATTAAAATTTGCCTCTACAAGATAAGGATTATAATCTTCAAATTCCGAGGCGGGCACTTGGAGTGTTAATTATCTGACGAAGAACAACTTGTTTTAAAGTTGTGTTCGACTTATAATAAAGTAAACGGTTATCTTCTACCTCGTATAATTATTCGATTTAACAAGAAGATGTAATCGAAATTGAAACTCGATGGATATATTTATAGCAGCCGAGTTTCATTCGTAATTAAATCATATACATCAGAATAAAATATTGTTGACTTGGAAATGCATTTTACATACATGGGTCATAATGTTCATGTCTGGTCCTTGCCTAGTCCTTAGGTCTAATTTTTGCGCGCGAGTTTTTGCCCTTCCGTCTCGGAAACGTCACCGAATCCGTCTCTATTTAATCTCCTACAACTCCACTTTCTTCTAAGTCGCGAGCTTATAAGGGGCTGACACATGACAACGATAACAATGGACAGGAAATACTGAGTGTTCATTATTTCCTTACAAAACATCGAGACGCTACTGGGGCTGTTTATTAAGATAGAAGATATCAAGGTGAAAAGTTATTCATAGGGATGCAAGATTCTTTTTATAATATTGTGCTAAGAAATGAAATGTCTTTTTAAAAATATTAGATGAGTTTAGAGCGGTTTTCACTTGACTGTCGTAAAACCAAAACCAAAGTAAATACACTAGCCAACCAAAGGGCGTAGTAAAACCAAAACCAAAACCAAAACCAATCCCTTTCGACAGTCAAGTGAAAACCGCTCTATTGATCAAAACCAAAGTCATAAATAGACCAACTTGCAGAAATACTGCAATTCAGTTGTGTTTCTTTTAAAGTTAGCTGGTCCTACTTTCTTTAATAGCCGTAAAGTCAAAAGTAATAAATATACAGGGATCCATAAAAAGGAATATAATCATCAGGATACGGGATATTTAGGCCACAAGTTAACGGGGTACGGGACAAGCGAACAACTTCCCAGGGGAGGGGGTGTGTTACATTCACCCGAACGTTGCCTCGCTATTTTCCTTCTACATTAAAGCTAAAGAAGGAGTGATGTTTAGTCTTGGGAATCGTCTTTGCTAATTTGGAGTTCAGGGCTTGCAAGTAACTGTATAACAAAAGAAAAAGGTAACAAAAAGCTCATACCCCTCCCCACCCACTCTCCTGACCGACGAACAATTGCGGTATTCAACAAAGCATGTAAAGATATGGCTTTTCAGCGTAGTTGTGAAGTGTCTTTCACCATTGAATAATTTTTGTAACTTTTCCAAAAATTTCGACTTCCAAGTCTGTTTGCTGGGCATTTTTTTTATCACAACTACTATACATGTACCGGCTTTATTGGAAAATTAATTATTATGCTGTTATTGGAGGGTATGGTTTTTATAGCATTTGGCAAAGCAATTGCATTAGCCTGTTCAAACTCTCCTTTAATCTTATCAGCACATCACAGCGCTTTACCGTGGACAATTTTTGGAGGCAGAACCCAGCTTCTCTTTGAGAATTACTCGTTGAAATAGCTGTGAAACAACTCCAAACAAACTCAGTCCCTGGAAGGACCAGGTTCAGAGCCACCTTAAATTTTAACTTGACACATCAAACTCTTGGCTTGAATCTCAATCCCTTTTAGTCAGTGGGAATTTGCTGGAGCTTCCTACAAGAAGAGGTCTTTCATGACGAGGCAATCATGAGAGAGACCTCTGCTAGCAGGAAATTGTTGGAGAGACTATCTCTCTGGTAACTGAATTAGGTGCACAAGATTGGGACTTCGATTCTTCGAAGTTCAAATATTCGGGAGGTCAAATTTCTTCGAAATTCTCTTCGATTTCGCTGACGTTGCGACGATAAATGCGGTTGCCTTTTTGTATTAACTTATTTAGCAACATTTCGTCACAAAGCTAGGAAAACTTTTCATTCATGTTAACGTCCAGTTTTGTTTTTTTTTTTTTTTTCATCAAACATCGGATGTAAGGAAAATCTAAAAAATGCGTGCCCTCTTACCCTTTTGAGCACCCAAGAAATTAAGTCATAAACCATTCTTTGTGCATATTCCAGAAAAGAAAAAGAAAAGCCAAAAAACGGAAAGATTATGACCTGCATACTAAAAAAAATTGCTAGGTTTCCGTTCAGTTAAAAAAAAACAAAACAAAAAACATTGAAACTAAAACTATAACGTTTATGACTCATATCCAACCACATCTGGAAACATTTGAATACGGCTGTTAATTATTGTTGGTTCGATTGTTAATATCAATTTTTTTCGGAATATGGAAAGTCTCGATAAAGAATATCAAAGAATAGGACCTGATAAAAATCAAATCTAGAAGGAATTTTAACCTGAACAATACAATTTCTGACGTCAATATAACGGTCAATCGGGATGATGCATTTGACCCTCAAATAGCCTTGAACAGTGTCGCATTTTTAGTATTATTAGGGAGCTTAAGCAACAACGACGGCGACCACAACGACGACTTCAAAAAAAACCAATAGGTTTAATGATCAAAACAACAGCTCCGCACTTGCGACACGCTTTTTAGTACATTTGACGTCTACTGCACGACTGCGACGCGAAACCTTCTAATTTGACGTTTTATGGAGGAGGTGGACATACGACAACGAATTTTTCTTCCTCTCTTTGAACCTGAGTAAAATCTTTAAGAATTTAACTCCAGGAAAAGTCGCCTGCATTTGACACATTGAGCGGGTCCAAATAGACGCGATAAAGTTTGAAAGAACACAAATTCATTTTTTACCGACGTTTTCACTGCCGTCGTCATCGTCCTTGCTTAAGGTCCCTATTAATAACAGTGGAGAACCATGAATTGCACCAATTCAAATTGAAATTGGCACAGATACAGGGAGAGTATTCTGGTACTCTTTCTCTCTGAAATTAGTCTCCTTCAGAAAGCGTGTCTCTAACTCAGTACGTTTCTTCTAAACGCAAGCGTTATAGACTTATACCCGGTTCCTAAGAGGGGATACTCCCCACAATGGCCTGTACGGGGAGGATCCACCCGAAAACTATAACAATTACTATTATCAAGAGCTTCGCTTTTAGCCCCGGCTAAATCTATATATTACACTCCCGTAGTTCTCTCGAAAACCGTACCCTATTCCAGACCAAAATGGGCGAAGTCTATACCCGTTTTCAGGTTAAAACGGCGCAAAGACCCTACCCTTTGGGGTAGCACATGCCTATATGGCTTATATAAGGGAGTACCTTCCCCCAGGGGTACAGGCGTACAAGTCGCTACACGAATAACTGGAAAGTTCCTTAACCCTGGCCCTAGTAAGGAAAATTAATTGATACCATTTTTTATGACCCAAAACCGAAGAATGATATTCTATAACAATCCATGATGCCAACGACCAAAGAAAAGATTATTCCGCGCAAGGCAAAACAATTTATATTCTTTGAAATCGTTTTTACTGTCCTATAACGTCTTGTTCAGTTTTTAACTGATAGAGGCTGAAGTCCTTAGTTTTAGCTAGAAACGTAAGGGCTGAAGCCTATTTAAAAACGTTAGTGCATCCAGCGAGCAAATACATCTACCACACATGGGAGCACCCATTTCTGAACCTCCACCTGAATGGAAGCGTTCTAGATGTTTCAGTGCAGAAGCAAAGGGCATTTGACATCATCAGAGAGAATCGGAGGATGTGTGAAAATTTCGCTTAGAAGCGGAAGCCAAAAATGACAAAAATGTTCACCAAAAGATAGTGTAAGAACATTTTTATCATAGATCGAGAATCCGTCCACCGTGGTATGCAACTTTTATACAATTTTTCTTTGTTTAAAACAAAGGAACTTTCTAAGTAGGATGTATTAACTTAATTAAGGACTTTTCTTGTTGGAACTGATAAAGGGAATTCCAATTAAAACAATTGTCATCATTTAGCGAGGCGTTAAGTACATAGAAAAAGATGTTGTGATAACCGTTGAAAGCAACCAACTTTGTGAGAAGAATCCATCGCCTTGCTTTTTACACCATTTATTATTCGGGCGAGCCATCGCTCAGAATTTCCTGCATGCAGTCACTATCTTTCATTTCAGAGAGCACTTGAAGATAGTTCAGGTTCGATTTTCACATCGCTGCAAATAAAAGCACTGAAGACACGTTTCTCTGGAGTTAAATACCCTCTGGACTTTATTCTTATATATCCACTGGTAATGGGGTGCCTAGATTACTGTAATAGTTTACTCTACGGTCTCCAAAGAAATAATACCAATAAGCTACAGTGTCCTCAGAATATGGCTGCCAGCTTAATGAGAAATTTTGTCAGATTTTGTCAGATCACACCTGTACTGTATCAGTTGCACTGGTTAGCAATAAGTGTCAGGATTAAATTCAAGGTGATACTTCTAAGGTTTAAAGCAGTATATGGACTGGTTCCATATTATATACAAAATTTAATCGAAGTCAAGGAGAAGTCCTCCCACAACCTTAGGTCAAATGATGAAGTGTTACTGGCTCCACAGACGTTCAAGTCTGAAAACACCTTAGGCGACAGGGCTTTCCAAGTGGCTGCGCTAACTCTATGGAACAAACTTCCAAGTGCATTAAGGATTGAAACAAGCTTGAAGCCTTTTAAAGCCAAACTAAAAACTTTACTTTTTAAAGAAGTCCATGATTAATAGTTTATGATTATTATTATGACTTATAAATTAACGTTTTCAGGTAATTTCAATTACTAAGTTACAATGCATTTTAGTATACGAAATTTTTAGTTTTTTAGGAAATTTTACCTATAATTTTGTATATTTTTTTGTCAGTGCGCATTAGATCATATTTTAATGCTATTTTGCGCCTTTAAAATAATAAATTATTATTATTATTACTATTATTATTATTAGAAATGAATAGATATTTTCACAAATTCCGCGAGGACAAGCCCTCTTTACAACTCCGCTAGCTGGGCACCCTCCTGTTGGTTTTTGTGAACATTTTATTTTAGTTGGGTGGGCTAATCCTTTATCATTCTGTAGTAGTGTTGATATTCAGGGGTAAATTACAATACGAAAAATGGACCATTGGAGAGAGTAGAAAGTGCTATAAACACGGTGGCACCGCCCTGGTAATGCCTTTGACGAAAAAAAGAAACAAACTGAAACTTAGGGTGAAGTAACAACATCAAGACCAAATAAAAGAAAAAATATATATTTTGTGTTTGTGTGAGTGCCCAACATTTCCTTTGAACCCCAAAGTAAG